ATTCTGCCAGCTGAGTAAAAATAGATAAGAGTTGAATAAAATGCTTCCAATAGCCCCCCAGTGCCCCACTAAGTGAACTATTCAACAAGATACTTCTTCAAAAATTAAAAAACTTTTGATTGGATTAAGGATTTTAATACCACAACCTTCAGATTTTCACAGAAAAATCTCCCTATTTTCAAAATCATTCAAGTATATCTTTCCTTAGTTACTCTGCTATATATATATATTCAAATTGTAATTCCAGAAGACAATTTATTGAGTCTGCTGACAATTCCTATTTTATTATAGTAGCTTGGCTTGTAAATAGGGCTCTCCTTAATTACCGTGGGCCAAGTTAAGGAAAGGGATTACTGAATTTCTCTATTTTTTGTTTCCTCTCTTATCAAACATCACCTGTTAATTGGAAAATAAAAACTAATTACCATCCCTAACGTGGTAGTTTGGATAAATGTTTCATATAGTTGATTTAACCACCTGTCAAATTGCCAGGGCATGTTTATATCAATCTTATACTGATACTTTTTACTACGTTTTCCTGTCTAATTCACTACAGTGTTAGTAAATGCTAAACCAAATATCAAAATTTGATTTTGAAAGAGGATAATAGCAATCAAAGTGCAATTGCAAAAATGGGTAGAATGAGCAGCGTAGGTTGAGAAAATTGTCAGGAAAAACTGTTTCTGAGAAATAAAATATAAAACTATTCTAAAGTACAGTTCTTGCGTAGATGATAGAACTGCCTCAGATGCTAAACAAGCTCAAAATAAATTAGTGCTTGGATGGCTCACCAACAGCCTGTAGGTCAGGAAGTAAAAATGGCAGCATGAAATAGTCTCTATGTATATTACTGCTAAGAGAACTGAAGGATGGCAGGAAGTCACCAGGGATTGAGTATGACTCTTAAGGAAATGTTGCTCTTTTAAAAAAAAGATTTTTCACTGAGAAGAAAAATTGACCATATTGTGAAAAACTTGCCTATTCCCAACCTGTGTTGTTGCCTGGTGTTTGTTAATGGATTTCTGTTATTTGCATTATTACCAACTCACATTTTCTACTTTTAAGTTAATAATTATGTTCCATACCTTTACTAGAGGATTAATAACACCAACATTAGGACTTGCATTAAACACTTTGTTGAAGTTAGTCTCCCTATTGACTAGTTCCAGTTGATAGAACTTTTTGTCATCCTAATAAAGAAAAGAATATGTTCATGTTGTTTTCAATATATTCAATTGTGATTATTTAGCTAGTATGACCAACCTTTGTTCAGAAAAAAATCTTGACTTCAGATATGAAACTGCTGAAGCTGAACTAAGATTGGCAACATGTGTTCCATTTATGTAATAATTTGTGGCATTCCTATAATCCTTCTCTACAGCAGCATTAGCATTCTCACTTTGCATTGAGTTCAAAGACTCTATAAGACAATTTTTTTTGCTCTCCCCTTATTGTGATACAGGAAGCCACAAGTGGTTCATATTAGCAAATTTCTTATCAGCAAAATTCAGAACATACTTATTAGAAATTATATTAAAATAGATATTGTTTATATAGATGCCAGCTAGGAAGGAAAAAGTATCTCCCCCCCCAATGTTTTAAAATTTCTCTAGCATTGTGATTTATCTATAGTACAAAAGATACAATTTTATAAGTAACATTTCCAGTACACATTTATTCCAAACAGAATAGAGAGATTATATAGAATTAAATTATTTTAAAGACTGAATTATGAACAACTGTTTAAGAGTACAAAAAGAAATATGGAATTGTGTGTGCAGCTTAGATAACTGAGATTAAAACTAATTAAACGTCACTTTCATTTAGATTGCTTTCTTTCTCATATAATAGTGTTTGGAATATTTGACAAAAAATTATTAGTGTCTGACAAGCTCAAAACAAAGGCCACCAAATTATCTTACAATCAGCTTCTTTATCAGCTGATCCCTCTCAGCAATCAGGTCTTTCAGCTCTGCAATAAGCTGCAGGTCTTCTGGCCTTGGTTCCCTGTTTTGATATTTATCTTCCATTTCTTCTAAACTTTATAGAAGACAAAAGTATCACCAATGCATTAGTAATGTGTCAAAGTTAAAAGATAATACTGTAAATCCATATTATTAAATTGATTCAATAAATAAATCTATTAGATTTAAAAAGAGGTATATAGTTATACCTATAAAGAGGTATATAGTTATACCTATATAGTTATACCCTTTTTGTTGGGTATGCTAAAGAAAATACTGTCATAATTTACAGTTAAAACAACACAACTTCTATAATAAAATTACAATAAATCAACTGTTTGAGAAAATATCATGCAAACAACTAAAACAACAAGTTAGTATAAGCAGTCAAAAACACCACAGAAAGAAAGCAGAAATTAAGATAATTGCAGAAAAGTTCTAAAAAGACAGTGAAGAAGCATTAAAGGAGTGAATGGAAATAAATTAATTTAGAGAAAAATGCTGAAAGGCCAAGAAAACAGAGCCTTGTATTTGTAGAAAGGTTAATAACTTCTGAATTAACCTTTCAGATTGCTATCTAGTTTTGGATTTTTATATGGATTTTAACAGACAAGGGTAAACATTGAACAAACTGAAGCTATATGCTGATAAGATGGATTCATATGGATTATTAGGTGCCTTGATCTGGATGCAGCTGAAGAATCAGTTTTCTGATGGGGGTTTCATATACAGTCAGGTACAGAAATATGGGGACCTCGACACAATTTGAACATCTTTGGCTCTATACACCACCACAATGGAGTTGGAATGAAACAAACACAATGTGCTTTAACTGCAGACTGTCAGCTTTGAGGGTATGTACATCCAACTCAGGTGAACGGTGTAGGACTTATAGCAGTTTGCATATGTGCCTCCCACTTGTTAAGGGACCAAAGGTAATGGGACAATTGGCTTCTCAGCTGTTCCATGGCCAGGTGTGTGATATTCCCTCATTACCCCAATTACAATGTGCAGATAAAAGGCCCAGAGTTCATTTCAAGTGTGCT